CAGGTCTTTCCCACTGAGTGACACACCCAACCCACTTCTTTAATTTTTATTTTGGGACAGGGTCTCAGTAAGTCACTTAAATTGCCTAGAGTGGGCTCAGATTTTTTTTTTTTTTTTGTCTTTTTCCTTTTTATCGGTACCAGGGATCGAACTCACGACTGCTTGCTTGCAAGGCAGGCGCTTATGCCACTGAGCTAAATCTCCAAGGGTGGGATCAGATTTCTTCTTGCATGAGCCTCCCAGGGTGCTGGGATGACAGGCATGTGCCGCCTTACCTAGCTGCTCCTACAGTCAAGCAATTTCAAACCTGGAATAAAAAATCTGTGTGTTTAAAAATCCACATCCCTCCACCCCCTGAAAATGGGGTGGGGTGGCCTGTCGTCCCAGCACTTGGGAGGCTGAGGCAGGAACATTTCGAGTTCAAGGCCAGTCTGGATAACGTGGTGAGACTTTCAAAATTTAAAAAAGAGAGCTCAGAGGGCCCCTGGGTTCAACCCCCAGAGGGAGGTGGGACCGAGGTTATCCAGGTCTTCTGACCCAGCTGTGCAGCTCCCTCGGGATCCCGCCTCACTCCAGGACGCAAAGAAGTAGGATTAGATCCAGTCTGGCATCTTCCGCTACCCTAGAATGTGCAGAAATGACCCAGCGCCCCCAGTGTCTGTGCTTCCCTCAAGACAGGACTGGCTCTTGCCCAGCTGGTCATTAAAATGCCCAGGAAGCCACAGCTTCCCTGGGCCCTGCGCCTGCCCCCTGCTCTGCTCACAGCCAGATCTCCCAGAGGCTGGAAGGTGGCAGAGGGTCAGCTCTGGAGGTCACCAGACCTAACCCCTGACCAAGTTGCCAAAGCGAGGCAGGGGACACTAGGCTGGCATCACACAGCCCTTTCCTGTTGACTGACTGTTGTTACACTGGAGATTGAACCCAGGACCTTTATGCTACGGCTACATCCCTAGCCAGTTTTAAAATTTTTATTTTATTTTGAGACTGTCTTGATAAATTACACAGGCAAGACTCAAACTTTGGATATTCCTGTCTTATATGTGACACTATATCAGGCTCAATTTATTTATTCTGAATTATATTTGCTATTATTCTAAAACTTGATTTAATATTCTTTTTTTTTTTTTTTTTTTTTGGTCTTTTGAGACAGGGTCTCGCTGTGCAGTTCAGGCTGGCCTTGAGCTCACTTTGTAGCCTAGGCTGGTCTCGAACTTGCAACGATCCTCCTGCCTCAGCCTCCCGAGTGCTGAGATTATAGGCATGAGCCACTACGCCCCGCTTGTGTTTTTTTTGTTTTTTTGTTTTTTTTTAATGTTCTTTCCTTCCTTACTAAACATTTAAGGTGCACAGAACAGGTGGTGTTATACGTTGTTCTGGGCAAATACTGGCTCATTTAATTCCCTCAGCCCCTGGGAAGAGGCTCCCGGCAGCCAGCTCTGCGCGTGACATAACTGAGACACAGACAGGACAGGTCACCCGGCCAAGGTCTTGCTCACACTTCCACCTTCATTTCCAAGACAACAGGGCTGGAGGTCACTGGGCCAGGTCACTCAGCTGGGACATGGAGGAGCCTGCACAGGAGCCAGGTCTGCATAGGGCCAGGGCCGAGCTGACCGCCAGACGGGAATCAGAGCTGGGGACTGGGGCCGGCCCGGGTGGGTGTGTCAGGGCCCATGAAATCAGGGATTCAGTGTGGTGTGTCAGGCTCAGGGTCCTCCTGCCCTGGGACCCCTGGGCGCTCGCTGCCTGGTGAGCTGCTCCTTTCTCTGTCATGCTGTCCCACCCTGGGTGGCCACGGCCCCAGGCCTGGCCGAGGATCTGACACCTCCTGCTGCTGGGCCCTGATCAGAATCGGGCTGCAGGGCAGGGGTGAAACCAAACCCAGGCAGGCTTCCCAGCCCGGATGTCACAGCAGACACCCGGACCCTGTCCTCGGCCCAGCCCAGGCGCAGCCAGTGGCGCCTGTGAGGATCCTGGGGAAGCGCTGCCCACGGGGCACTGGCCAGGCTTCAGCCTCAGCCCTGGACTCTGGGCTCCGGGGTCCCCAGGGAGCTGGTGGCCAGGCTCCCACCCTGCCTGGCTCTCAGGTGAGCGCTTGGGATCAGATTCCTGGGTTTCATGTCCCGCATTGTTCTTGGCTGGGCCCCGGCTTATGAAACAGTAATGAGGGGCCCCTGCTCCCAAAGCCGGCCCCTCTAGGGTTTCCGCTGCCTCGACCGGTGCCACCACCACCCCAGCCCAGAGTCGGGCCTGAGAGGGTGGCAGTGCGGGGGCCTGAGCCGGAGCCCCCCGGGGACGAGGGTGCTGACAGCCGCCAGCCACCACCACCGCCTTTGCCTTTGGAGCCTGCTGCCCAGGTAACCTGAGAGGAGGCGGGGCACAGGGTGCCATGGCCTGGTCTCCCACCACCAGGGGAGGGCCCTGCAGCAGGTGGGGACAGAGGGGCCTCCCTGGAGGTGAGCAGCTGTTCCCTCTGGTGAGCGGGCACCAGCCTCACAGGTGTGGCCTGTGTAGCAGGAGGCAGAGCTGCAGTGCAGAAGGCCCTGTGCCCACCCCTGGGGCTGCAGTGGGACAGATCTCTCCCCTGGGGTCACACTTTCCCACCTGCACCTCCATCAGGCTAGCTCTTCCTCCCTCAGAGGCTCCCTGCGCTCCAGGCCAGTGTAATCTTCCTTCCTCTCCCTGGACTTGAAGCTACCGCTGATGCTTTCTTGGGGGCTTCTGGGCGCCTCACATTCTCAGGCACGCACATGGGGATATGCTCTTAAATAAAATTGTGGCATTTACGTAAACATATGCTCGGGGTCCCCTAGGGGCCTGCTTCCACGTGCATGTTTGCACACATACACTCACACCCGTGTGCACACATGCCCAGGCACACAGGTACCTGCATCTAGGCCCATCCTCGAACACATGCACCCATGCAAGCCCGCCAGGACCCCTGCCAGCCCCCAGCTCAGGTCCCAGGAGCACCTCCAGCCCCAGGGGCAGTTCTCCTTGAGTAAGCAAGCCAGCGGGGTGAGATCCCAGGAGGAGATGTCTGGAGATCCCACCCCGCCCTCAGGAGGGCTGTGCAGGGGGAGGGGACCCCACGTGGGCCTGAGCTGCCTCCTCTCTCCAAGGAGCCAGGGAGCCCTCCAAGTGCTGAGGCGTCCTACTGCGACCTGCCCCGCTGCCCGCCTGCCCCTGAGGACACGCTCAGCACTGCAACCTCCTCCTGCCAGCTTGTGGTGGGCCCAGGCCTCGGGCAGCTGCCTGAGAGGTGGGTAGAGCCCAGAGCCTAGGGAAGGGCGTGTACACCCTCCCCACCCACACCCCTTGACGGTGACAGTGTCAGGGTGGTGGCTGCTGGCTGGGGGTCTGGGCACAGGTGGGCAGTGGGTGCACTCCTCAGGCCCAACTGTGAGAACTCAGATTGGACTGTCCCTTTTTGCTCCTGACCCTCTGAGTTTACTGTCCCCAACCCTGGCTGTCTTTCCTGATGGCCCTGCTGCCTCACCCAGTTCCCAGCACCTGGCTCAGCCGCGCTGCTAGGCGTGAACAGCCTTACACCTCTGGCTCCCTTGTGCAGCTTTGAGTTCACGGTCTTCTCATTCGGGGGCACCTGCTGCCACCCCTACTGCTGGAGGCTTTGGGATTCCTCCACCACAGGCCTACACCAGCCTGAGTCATGGGACCTTAGCAGGGCTCAGCCTGAGACTCTAGAAACCTGAGTCTCCGCTCCACATCTGTCCCTGTGGGCCTTGGGCAGGGGCTGTCTCTGTCCCATGCCTCACTTCCTCTGTTTGTAAAGTGAGGGGCTGACTCAGGTCCGGAGGCGTGGCTGAGTGGCAGAGCACATGCCAGGCCTGGATTTGACTCCCAGCACTACCAAAGAAACAGATGAAGGGTTCGAATCCAATCAGTGTTACTTTGGGAGCGTGTGCTCCTCATAGGCAAGGGTGATTGTTATTTTTTTAATAGCTCTGCTGGCCAGGTGTGATGGTGCACACCTGTAGTCCCAGCACCCTGGGAGGCTGAAGCAGGAGAATTGCAAATTCGACAACAGCCTGAGCAACTTGGTGACTTAGTGAGACCCTGCCTTTGCTCAGTTCAGTTTTAAAAAGAAAGCTCTGGGGCTGGGGATTTAGTTCAGCGGCATAAGCACCTGCTTTGCCAGCAGGCGGTCATGAGTTCAATCCCTGGTACCAATAAAAAAAAAGACAAAAAATAAAATAAAATAAAGATAAAAAGAAAGCTCTGCCATCAAACTGCTACCAAGTGTGTCTCCGACAGTGCAGGGTAAAGGAAGCTGAATACCCTCCCCTGGGACCCAGCAGAGCATTTAGCTTGCAGGTGGCATCACGGGATTTGGATGGAGGAGCTAAAGAAACTCGAAGTGGGGGCTGGGGATTTAGCTCAGCGGCATAAGCGCCTGCCTTGCAAGCAGGCAGTTGTGAGTTCGATCCCTGGTACTGATAAAAACGAAAAAGACCAAAAGACCAAAAAAGAAAAAGAAACTCGAAGTGTGTGCCTAACTTTTTGGATTATAGAACTCCTGTGACCGTCGCCCAATGCCATTGTTAGGCTACTCCTCGGGCCCCTGTGGGGATACTGCGGCCACCCTGGAGGGCTTTTCCAGAGCAGGGCTTTCTCTACAGCTGCCCCAGGAGCACAGCTGCCGGCAGGTCCCCACCAGGCTAGCACGAGTCTGTTCCCCATCATACTGAGCTTGGGCTCCCCACGTCTCTTCTGATGACAGGAGTCAGAAATAGCTCCAGTTCACAGCCCAGCTCTGCCGTGTCCTAGCTCTGCGGCCTTGGCCAGAGTCTTGACCTCTCTGAGCTGTACATGGTTTTTCAGTCACCCATAGAGCCCAGCTCTGGGGACCTTGGTGTTGCTCCCTGTTCTGCAGGGATGGGCCGATTCTGGGCACCTGTGGCATGCATGCGTGTGTGTGCCCGTACATGTGTGTGCCGTGTGCCTGGCTGGGGTGGGGGTTTCTCCCTGATCCTGTTGCTTCTTTGGGAAAACTCATGGGATGTTTCTCCCCCAGCAGCCTATCCCCAACGACAGGGCTTTCTGACCAGGCCTCTATAGCTGTTCCCAGGAGCCAGCCTGGGGGCCTTGAGGCAGTGGAAAGGCTAGCTTCCTCTCCATGTGACAAGAGCCCCGATTCTGACACCAGCTCCGGTCCTGACAGTGACACCCCTGATGATACCAGCAACTCCTCTTCTGTGGTAAGGGGGGGCAGAGACAGGACCAGGGTGACAAGAGCAGATCATTCCCCCGTCCCTAGTCCTGGGGCGCCTAAACCTCCAGATCAGAACTGAGGCTTTCATGGCAGGGAATCAGGCCACACCACCAGCCCAAGGGGTGGAGGTCTCTGCCCCAGGTGCCCACAGAGGCCCCAGGTCTGCTGGAAAGGAAGGTGGAGGAGGGGGTTTCAGGTGACAGGGAGCTCCGGTGAGTCACCAGCCAGCTCCTGCTGCCAAGCACTCTCAGGTCGCAGAGGCCTGGGATGTTGGGTGTGGCGCCCACAGCAAGACAGGCCGGGGCCTAGGTCACACACTGCTGGCCCCGTGACCAGTGCTGGTGCAGAGTCCCAGAGCTGGAGGCGGGACTGGGAAGGACTGGGGCTCCCCTTGGGCATGCCCAGAAGGGCTGTCAGGGGCAGGAGATCCAGGCAGCCCATCCTGTGAGACCCCTCCTCACAAAGAACTGTGGCCAGAAGTGATTGGGGTCAGCTTTAGCCACCTAGCCTGAGCTGGGCATGATTAATTCCAGTACTCTGGAGGCTGAAACAGGAGAATCACACATTTGAGGACAGCCTGGACTATGTGACAAGTCAAGGCTAGTGTGTGCCTAGGTAGTGAGATCCTGGCTCAGAAACAGAAACAGAACAAAGCCCCTAGTTTGGGCACATGCCATGGCTGGCACTGTGCGGAGAGCTTGGCGGGTGTGGGCTCAGAAAGGCCCCTCCCACCCTCTGACCTGGAGACTGAGATGGCCCATTTGGGGCTGAGGGGAAGCCACTCACCTGAGGCCTCCCAGCTGGACAGCGGAGGGATTAGGATCTGAGCCCACGCCTCCTGGCCCTGTGACTTTGGCCCCATTCTTGGTCTCAGTGGCCATGCCTCTTTCCCAGGGTTGGTGGAAGGAACTGCCTGCCACCAGCCTGCACAGTGCCAGACATACAGGGAGTGCCTTTTAAATGCCAGGTCCCTGGTTTCCTTCTACCCTTCATGCTGGGAGTGGAGGCCCTGGACCGCCTTCTCCCACTAATAAGCTTTTCTCCCCCTTCCTTGGCAGGACAAGGTCCCCAGCCCCGACGAGCTCACCGTGATGATCCCTCGGAAGGCCCAGGAGGGGCCAAGAGCTGACAGTGCCCAAAGAGTCACCAGGTCCCCTGTGAGAGGAGACAGCGCAGGCCAGAGAAAAGAGGGTGAGTCCTGTCAGGATGGTCCCTGTGACCATGGGTGTGGTGATGACCTGGGTCTCACAGGCCTGGGCCCTGGGCAGGGCTCACTTTGGTCTTACTAATAGTAAAGGTTCCCGAATAATTGCAGAACGGCCAGGATGTGCCGTGCTGCCGGCTTTAACCACCTCACCTCATAATGGGGGGTTAGGGTCTTTTGTTTGGGAGAAACAGAAGCTGGCTGGGCAGCGGGATTCACTGGACAGTGATCTAGTAGAATGTGACTTCCGGTATGGGTGCACCCAGGAGGTCAAACAGCATGAGAAATGTGGTCTCTGCTCTGCTTTCTTCCGAGGTGGCTTCATCTATTTCTTATTTTTTGAATCTTTTTTGGTTTTTTGATACAAAGTCTCACTATGTAGCCCAAGGGGGCCTAGAACTTGTGGTGATCCTCCTGGCTCAGTCTCTGGAGTGCTGGGATTACGGGTGAGGCCACTACGCCTCGAGGTGGCTTCATTCTTAGCCAGACCCTTCCTGATGATGGCATGATGACCATCTGTAGTGCCAGGCTGCACCCTGATACTTATCCTGCTATGAGGAAGAGACGGGCTTCCCCACTGATGTAGCTGGAAGGGTTCTCACAGGGCCCAGTGCCTCATAACTCGAGGTTCGGGAGAGTCCCCAGAGGAGGGTCCCCAGAGGGTGACTGTTCCTGAGGAGGCTGAAGGCTGCTGCCAGGCCTGGCCCACAGAGCCTGGGGACGCTGGTCATTGTCTCACTGGACCCCCGTCACTCTTGCACTGTACTGCTGCCTGCTCCATCTTTAGCATGGACAGGATTTGGGGACGTGAGGCCAGGACAGCCCCGTTCCGGCCAGACGGGTAGCCCTGGGTACCTGTGCTCCTGGAGTGCTGTGGAAAGACACTATCACCCAGGTGTGCGTCACCTAATAAGCAGAGGAGCAGCAGAGTGGACAGGACCCCAGGACAGGGGAGGGACAGAAGCAGGAATGTGCAGATGTCTGTGAAGGGCTCTTTGGGGCAGCAGACCCACAGGGGGTGGCATCAGGACCCAGGGTGACAGGTGGCTGAGGGACAGCTGGAAAGAGGCTGGGCGGCATGACCAGGGCTCCAGCGTAGATGGGGTTGACTTTCTTCTCTAAACGGTGAGAAGCTGTGGAAGGTTCGGGGTAAAGGAGTAATGTAACCAATCCGGTGCCTTAGGAGGGTGCCCAGGACGAAGTGCCAAGGATGAACTGAGCAGGGTGAGGCTGCGGGGCAGAAGCCGGTTAAGAGACCCTCATGGCCACCATAGCAATACCGGTTCAGGCAGGAATCAGCGGCCCTGACCAATCCTCTGGGCAAGGGTTGCTGGGGGACAGGATATTCACAGCTCCAAAGCATCGGCTCAGATTATGCATTGATCTCCAGGGAAAGGGCAGCCCTGGGATGTTGGCTGTGGCAGACCCCACTGAGCCAGGTGGTCACTCAGGACCCCCAGAGTGGGACAAACTGCCTTCGTGATCCCCTTCTACGTGGCGCTGGGGTGGCACGCAGCACCCCTTCCCTGCTCCCATGTACCTCCTGCTTCTAACCCAGACCAGCCCAAATGGAGGGACATTCTGCAAAATAGCTGGCGTGGACCCTGCACGGAAGACAGAAAGGGGCTGAGGCCTGCTGTCCATTCAGAGAAGCTCTGGGCCGGGCTATGGCTCAGCGGCAGCCGCCTGCCTAGCAAGCATGAGGCCTGGGCTCCATCCTTGGGAAAAAAAAATAGAGGCTCTGGAGCTCAAGAGGGGGTGCCAGCCCCGGGGATGCTGAGCACAGCCTGAGCTCTGAGAGACGTTCCAGGGACAAGCTGGGCTGTCAGGGCGTGGACACTGTTAGATAAATGTGGCAGCCAGTCGGGTTTCCTTCCCTGAGTGTCGCAGTGACTCTGTGGTCCGGAAGCAGTGTGGGCTTGTTGGGAGAGGCATGTGGCGGGGTCCTGGCAGCTTCAGCGGACTCTCCTGATGAGAGAGGTACAGGAACATAGAGGATAGGTAGGCAGAACGCGGGCAGCAAGGTAGGTGACTGGGTAAAGCAATGGGGGAAGAACCACATTGGAGGAGCTGGGTGTGGGAGCACATGCCTGCAATCCCAGTACTCAGGAGGCTGAGGCAGGAGGGTCCCCTGTGAGCTCAAGGACCGTGTAAACTGCACAGCGAGATCCTGTCTCAAAAGGAAGAAAGAAAGACAGACAGACACTGGTAACCACTGATGACTCTGGGGAGAGATAGCTGTATGGGTGGTCAGTGTGTTATTTCTGTAATTGGTCACAGTTATCCAGGCGGTCATAGGAGGGGACAGAGAGGAGAGACTGAGGCAGTAACTCCATGGACTCAGGCAGATACACCGCCGCCGCACCTGGCCTGAGGGCTGCTGGGGTTGCCGGTGCTGCCGGTGCTCCTGGCCTTCACCTCCACCGCCCCAGCAGTTCCTGACTCAGCCTCCTCCAAAACACACTTCCAATCTGCCCCTCCTGGCCTCTCAGTGACAACCCTGGCTGAGCCACTGTCATCCAGGTTCTCATCAGAGCCTCTTCCTGCCTGCAGGCTCTGTCTGCCCTGGACATCCAGCCCATTCTCACCCTGCTGTCTGAGCTGTCTCTTCTAAACAGTAATCAGATCTTACCACCAGCACCCAGCCGTACAGGGCCTGGAAAGCGGGTATGTGGGAAGACGCGGTGGCACAAGGGAACCAAATGCCTCCCTGGGGTGCCAACTGTCTGACAGCCAGGTGGGATTTTGTCCGAAGTGCCTGCTTTCTTGCTCCTGAACACTGAGCAGTGGGGCAGGGCCCCCACTCTGACCTACTTAAACCAGAGCGGCCACTGTGGTCCACCTGGCGGCAGCTCCCTGAATTGCAGACGGGGGCCAGGGCCCCAGATAAATTCACCAGCTCTGTGCTGCTTTTTTGGGGATCCTTCACATTTATCCCTCTGCATACTGCCTAGTTCTGGAGTTCACTTGGCTGGTAGGGATGGGACACAGATTGCTCAGGGACCTCTGGAGACTGCCCTGTGTGCACAGGGGCTGCAGAGTGGGGGCCGATCTGGAAGGAGCCCGGTGCAAAGGGCGGCTTGAAGCCACATGGTGCCACATGCCTGTAATCCCAGCACCGAGGCAGCTAAGGTAGGAGGGTCGATGCAAGCTTGAGGCCAGCCCGGACTATAGCCTGAGACCCTGTCTCAAAAAAACTAAAAGGGTGTGGGAAAAAACCCACAAAACAAAACAAAGCGAGGAGACAGCTTGAGATGGTGGGACAGAAGTCGCTGGGGGGAAGGAGGCGGACTGCTGAGCTCAGAGTGGAGGCGGGTGGAGGGAGCCCAGGCCGGGGCAGAGGCAGAGCAAGAGATGGCAGTGCACTCTGCCCTGAGTGCCAAGCCTGGGCGTACAGCTGGAGGCCAGGTGCTTCCCAAACAGAGCTTTGTGGGGACAGAGCAGGCAGCCAAATGAACAAGACAGACAGATGCACAGGGCATGCAGGGGGCTATAGGAAGCAGCCAGGGGAAAAGGGGAGATGCTTCAGCAGAGGCGACAGCAAGAGCAAGGGCCCTGGGGTGGACAGTGTGTGTGAGACTGAGGAGCCTGTGCGTGGGGGAGGAGCTGCGGAGCATGGCCCCAAACGCCAAATGGGCAGGGAGCCCCTGGTGGGCTTTTATTTTTCCCCAACTTTTTGCTTTGAAATAATCTTACTTTTATAGAAAAGTTGTCCTGAGACTTGCTATTGTATCCTTCACCCAGGTTCCCTAATGTCATAGCACAGTGGGGACTGGGGACGTTGCTACTGGTAAACTCCTTGGGTAGCACGTTCAAGGCCCTGGGTTCGGTTCCTAGCCACACACACACACACACACACACACACGGCCTCACACACACATGGACACACATGCATGCTGGGTGTGATGACACATGCCTGTAATCCCAGAACTCTGGAGGATTAGGCAGAAACATTGCAAGTCCAAGCCCAGCCTGGGTGACTTTTGTGACATAACTAGACCCTGTCTCAAAAAACAAAAGGTTGGAGATGTGGCTCAGTGCAGAGTCTAGCTTTGATCCCTGGCACCACAAAAACGCCAGAGAAAGGCAGGGCAGGTAATGAACACCGGCCCAATACTGTTAAGCTACAGACTTCATTTGGACTCTCTAGTTCTTCTAAGGTCCTTTTCTCGTCCCTGGGTCCAGTCCAGGGCCCCACATTGTTCCACTGCTGGTCGCCCCTGTGTCCTCTGATCTGCGACAGCTTTCCCTTCTCCTCTAGTCTTCCCCTTCCCCTGAAGCGTTGTGAGCAGGGGCATCTGGTCACTTTGTCTGGAAAGGGTGCAGAGGGGGATGACGACACAGGGCCAGGGCACCCATGCCAGTGCCAGGGTGGGCGGAGGAGCTGAGACAAAAAAAAGGGGTGATTTTAGGGGCTGGGGATTTAGCTCAGCAGCATAAGCACCTGCCTTGCAAGCAGGCGGTCGTGAGTTCGATCCCTGGTACCGATAAAAAGATTTAAAAAAACAAAGGAGGGGTGATTTTGGGGTGCATTTGAGGATAACCGTGGGACATGAGAAATGACAGTGCCAGGTCCTGGGAGTTCAGACTTGAGTGACACCAGCGTGGCGAGGTTGGAGGGGAAAGAAGGAGAAATGGGGACCTTATGCAAGGTTTTAATGAAGGCTCCTTCCAGACAAGGCCACAGTGCTGCTAGAACGCCTGAAGGCCAGCCCAGGGACACACGCAGCTGATGGCCATGGGACCGAGGAGGTAGACAGTGACACCAAGGTCACAGCCCTGTCTTGGGGTGAGGAGTCATGAAGGGGTTGCTGTCGAGGGCAGTTGCCTTAATCCTTTATACCAGCACCTCCGAAACCCAGGGTGCACGCGTGGCCTGGGAGCCAGGCTAAATTCAGATTCTGAGGCTGTGCGTCTGACGGGGCCTGAGCATCTGCCTTCCTCCCCTCACCCAGCCTCATGCCCTGTGAGGCTGAGCTCACCCTAGCCCGGCCCTTCTCCCTGCAGCCTGGGGAGCAGCCTCTGGGCAGGAGGAGCCCTCAGCCCCAGGGAACTGCAGCCCTTCAGAGCTCTCGCTCCTCAGAGGGCTCCTTAGAAGAAACTGGGTTGATTTCTGGGAATCCAGCTGCAGGAAGCAGAACCAGGAAGGGAAAGTTGCTGGGTAGCTGCTGCCCGGTCTTGCATCCCCTTGGGATCCTGGGACTGTTGTCAAAGCTGCTCTCTGTGAGTTCGCATCCCTTTGAAAACCTCCTTGGACCCCAGACTGTGTGACCTGTCAGGTCCAGCACCCACCCCCTATAGACTGAGTCCATCTGGCCCTGGGTTCCACTTTCCTGCTCAGCCCTTGTCTAACCAGCCTTGGTCAGAGGGGTGGGGTCCCTTCGAATGGACAGTGGCACCTCTAAGAAACCAACACGAGGTGTTTTCTAATCATAGAAAAGCAGCGTGTGAGGGCTGCCTGGAGCCTCCCCCGCTTAAACATCCCTGTCTCTCCCCAGACGCGGGCGGTGGGAGTCGGAGCCCAGGACAGCACTGGGCGAAGCTCCGGGGAGAAAGTGGCTACTTCTCCTTGGAGCGACATCGCTCCTCCACAGCCCAGGCTTCCTGCGAGACACCGCAGCATGGGCCTCGAAGCAGCCACCAGGCCTCCTCGGCCCAAAGGGACATTGTCCAGGCTCCTTCTGCACAGCGAGAATCCCCACGAGCCTCCTCTCCTCACCAAATCACCCAGAGGGACAACCCCAGGACCTCGTCCACCCCACAGGACACCCCCAGGGCCTCGTCCACACAGCGGAACACCCTGAGCACGTCCTCTCCCTCAAGAGTCTCCCAGAGGGACAACCCCAGGACCTCGTCCCCTCAAAGGAACAATCCTCAGCTCTCTTCCCCCCTCAGGGCCACCCCAAAAGATAGCCCAAGAACCCCCTCTACCCAACAGGACAACCCCCAGAACTCCTTTCCTACATCTTCTCCACAGTGGGAAAACCCCAGGACATCATGTGCCCAAAAGGACAATGCCAGAGTCACTTCTCCCAACCGAACCACCCAACGGGAAACCCCCAAGTCATCTTGTGCCCAACGGGACAATCCCAGAACTTCCTCTCCTGGCCGAAATTCCCAAAGAGAAAACTCTAGAACATCATGTGCCCAACAGGACAGTCCCAGGGCCTCTTCTCCAAATCGAACCTCTCAGAGGGAAAACTCTAGAACATCCTGTGCCCAGCGAGACAATCCCAGAGCATCCTCTCCTGGCCGAACTTCCCAAAGAGAAAATTCTAGAACTTCCTCTGCCCAACGGGACACTTCCAGGTCTTCATCTCCTAATCGAACTTCCCAAAGAGAGAATTCTAGAACATCCCGCCCCCAACGGGATAATCCCAGAGTCTCTTCTCCAAATCGAACCTCTCAGAGGGAAAACTCTAGAACATCCTGTGCTCAACGAGACAATCCCAGAGCCTCCTCTCCTAGCCAAACTTCCCAAAGAGAATGTTCTAGAACATCCTGTCCCCAACGGGACAATCCCAGAGCTTCTTCTCCAAATCGAACCCCTCAGAAGGAAAACTCTAGAACATCCTGTGCCCAACGAGAGAATCCCAGAGTCTCCTCTCCTAGCCGAACTGCCCAAAGAGAAAGTTCTAGAACATCCTGTCCCCAACGGGACAATCCCAGAGCCTCCTCTCCAAATCGAACCCCTCAGAAGGAAAACTCTAGAACATCCTGTGCCCAACGAGAGAATCCCAGAGCCTCCTCTCCTAGCCGAACTTCCCACAGAGAATGTTCTAGAACATCCTGTCCCCAACAGGACAATCTCAGAGCCTCCTCTCCAAATCGAACCCCTCAGAGGCAAAACTCTAGAACATCTTGCACCCAGCGGGACAATCCCAGGTCTTCATCTCCCAACCGAACCCCCCAGAACGAAAACCCCAGAACTTCCTGTATCCAACAAAACACCCCCAAAACGTCTTCCACCCACCGAGACAACCCAAAAGTCTCTTGCAGCAGGTGGGAGCACCTCAGAAGCGCCTGCACCCAGCGGGATCCCGCGAACTGCTCTTCCCGTCAACGAGACAGTCCTGGGACCTCTCCTCAGAGCTGCACCAAAAGGGACAATCCTGGACCACCATCTCCCCGACGGGACACTCAAAGGAGCAACCCCAGGAATTCGTCTCCTCATCGAACCAACAAGGACATCCCCTGGGCGTCCTTTCCCCTCCGGCCCACACCCAGCGGTGGCGCCCGCACCTCTTCCCCATCTCGCTCCAAGCAAAGCGAGGTGCCCTGGGCATCCATTGCCCTCCGGCCAACCCAAGGCGACAGGCCTCAGACCTCCTCTCCCCCCAGGCCGGCCCAGCGGGAGGCACCCCACTCCTGTGCAGCGATGCAGCCCGGTGCACCATCCCGAGCAGCCTCCTCTTCCTCCCATAACCCCGGGCACCTCGGTGCCTCCTCCCCTCTGCACCCTGCGACACGTGGGGCACCCCAGACCTCTTCTGAGCCCTCTCAGCCTCCATACACTGTGTGCATCGGCCACCGCGATGCCCCTCGAGCCTCTTCGCCTCCTCGCTATCTGCAGCACGACCCGTTCCCCTTCTTTCCAGAACCCCGAGCGGCTGAAAGCGAGCCACCTCACCATGAGCCTCCCTATATGCCACCTGCTGTGTGCATCGGGCACCGTGATGCCCCCCGGGCATCTTCACCCCCTCGCTACACTCAGTTCGACCCCTTCCCCTTCCTGCCAGACACATCAGACGTCTCAGAGGCTGAGAAGGAGTCACCCCAGCACGACCCTCCACACTTCCCCCCGCCTGTGTGTATTGGGTACCGGGATGCACCCCGGGCCTCCTCCCCACCCCGCCAGTTCCCAGAGCCCACCTTCCTGTTCCAGGACCTCCCCAGGGCCAGCACCGAGAGCCTTGTGCCCTCCACGGACTCCCTGCAGGAGCCCCCCCACACCCCCAGCCCTGTGTGCATCGGCCACCGGGACGCCCCCGCCTTCTCGTCGCCCCCACGCCAAGCCCCTGAGCCCTCACTTTTCTTCCAGGACCCCCCCAGAGCCAGTATGGAGAGTCTGGCGCCCTCCACCGACTCTGGGCACGGCTGCCCCCTGCCGCTCCCCCAGGTGTGCATTGGGCACCGCGATGCACCGCGAGCCTCCTCCCCGCCCCGCCACCCACCCAGTGACCTAGCGCTCCTGGCGCCCTCGCCCCCACCAGGCAGCTCCAGGGGCTCCCGGGGGTCAGCGCCTCCTGGGGAGACCAGGCACAACTTGGAGAGGGAGGAGTACACCGTGCTGGCCGACCTGCCCTCGCCCAGGAGGCTGGCCCAGAGGGAGCCGGGGCCCCAGGCGCAGGGCAGCAACAGGGGCCGCACGCGCAGCCCCGGCCGCACAGAGGTGGAGCGCCTCTTCGGGCAGGAGCGCAGGTGAGCCTAGGGCCGCGCAGCCAGGTGGGCTGGGGCAGGACAGGGTTCCCAGGGTTAGATGGCCGGAAGCAAGGGTCAGGGCTTCCTGCCATTCTCCGGCTGTGTGACCTTGGGCAAGTCACTTCATCTCTGCTTCTGCAGCTGAGGGGTTTTGAGGGTTAAGTGGTGCTGTGCGCAGCCTCGTGGTGGGAAGCAAAGAGGGAGTCAGGCAGGCTGGGTTCAAGTCTCTGTATCCCCTGTTACCTGCTAAAGTGATTTAACCGCTCTGAGCCTCAGTTTCCTCATCTGTCAAGCGGGGGACAAAGTAACACAATTTATTTAAATAAGTTTAAGCTCTCAAACCCTCCGTTTGAGAAGAAAGTGCCTATAATTGTTTTCTGTCTTAGCAAAGGAAGCTCACTATTTCCGCGAGCAGGGCCATCCATTTAAAACCTACGGCAGATATTGGCTTAGGCAGTGCAAACGCCACAGCCTTTGGCCGGAGCCACACACTGGATTTTATCTGGCAGAGCTGGGGATGGGACACAGGGCCTCACATATGCACAGTGGCTCCCGCTGAGCTGCACCCCAAGCCTGGAGCCCTGTATTTAGCTGACCAGAGCTTGCAGGGCTGCAGACTGTTTCCAGGTTAGCCATTATGTTCCCGGGACACAGTGACAATGCCTAACATCCAGGCGTCTTTCGAGTCTCCTTGGTCAACAGGATGCCCCTGCTGCTGAAGGGCAACTTTTTCCACTTTATCTGGCTGAGATTTCCTTTCCCATCAGTGCCAGCCCCTGAGCTTTCAAAAATCAGAGCCTGGAATTCCATCCAAGGGTCAAGGGAACCGGGGCAGAAAGTGAGTGTGGATGCCTGGAAATGTTTGAATGTGTGATCCACTGACTTTTATGTACTTACGACCTAGCCTTTGCCACCAGCTCATTTTAAAGCTTTTCCTGTACCTCAAAGGAAAATGTAATATTTTATACCTAAAATCCATCTCTTTGCTGTCTTAGAGGTAACGTTTCTCTGAGATTTGAATCTACATGAGAAACCTTATCTCTTTTTCGAAAGTCCGTTCAGTAAACTTAAGCTATTTAATATCCAAATCACAATTAATATCCAAATGACAATCTTTCTGAACTGCAGCACTAGTGTAATTGTTTCTTTGGCTTTTTTCCTAGAGCATGCTTTTTAAAAAAAAAAAAATAGCAGTTTTAGATTTGCAACAGAATTGAGAGGAAAGCCTCTGGTACCTGGACCCCGAATGCACACAGCCCCTCCCACTAGTAGCACCCCACCCTCATTCGTCATCCATAGTATAAATAATTACGTTTCACCCTTGGTGTGTATTTGACGGGTTTGCTCAAGGATATTATCACTATTGTATCATTGCCCTAAAAAAGCCTCTGCGTCTTACCTTTTTATGATCACTATTTTTTATCCAATGTCAATTTGCATGCGTTTGTCTTATCTAATGACCCAGTAGAGACATTAAAGAGTTAAAATCAAGATTCAGTTTTTAAAATCCCCTCTCCCATACTTTTTTTTTTTTGGTACCAGGGATCGAACTCACGACTGCATGCTTGCCAGGCATGCCCACTGAGCTAAAGCCCCAGCCCTGCCCGATAAATTTTATAAAGGCTTTATAACTGAAGTCAGAAACATTTTTATACATTTGTTGGCCTTTTAATTGTTCATACATAATAACTTCTATGCATTTTATTCTGCTTCTCTTTGAAGTGGATTATTTACCTTTTAGTCAAGATTTTCTAACTCTACTGAGTAAATTTTTCCCACCTTTTAAAATTGAGATGCCAGGCTGGGTGTGGCGGTGCACACCTGTAATCCCAGCATTCGAGAGGCTGAACCAGGAGGATCATTGTGAGTTCCAGGCCAGCCTGGACTATACAAAGTGAGCTCAAGGCCAGCCTGGATTCACTCTGTACAGCAAGACTTTGTCTCAAAAAGACCAAAAACTAAAATGGTGGAATACCATTTAGCCTCTGAAGACAAATTTTGTAAGCTATGCATTTGTGGAAAGGCTTGGAATTTATGTGTGGAGCGAGAGATGATTTTGTTTTGTGTCGGAACCCTAGAATTACTGTTGCTGGGTAGTTGTAGAGTTGTACTTTTTATTTCCTCCCATTTATTCAGCTGCTGTGTATTTATTGAGCATCTATACTGTCCAAGCATTACTCTGAGCCTGGAACATTTTTCTTGAAGGGCTATTGCATCAAAGCATTCACAGGTTTCACTTGATATCTTAATTTTTTCCTTACGTGTTTTTGGCATCTCCCAGCTTAGAATCAGTCATAAGCCTTCTGTGTTCACCTGAATTTAAAGTGGCCTTCCTCGTGATACTGCACATTTATAATCCTAGCATTCTGGGAGGCTGAAGCAGGAGGATCACAAATTTAAGCTAACCCTGGGCAATTCAACAACTCAGTGAGACCCTGTCTCCCTCTTTAAAAAAGGCGGGAAACATGTGGGAGAGGAACTGGGGCGGGGTGCGGCTTCTGGGTTGAGTCCCAAGTACTGAGCATACCTTGCCTCCCTCCTTACATGGGGTGATTATCGCTCTTACTGTCCCATTATCTTTGCTAGGCCTGATTTCCCTGTGTCCCCCAGGTCACACTGGAAGCCTCTAGACCTCAGTTCTGGGGAAGCCTTACTAAAGGCCTCCACTCTGCAGAGTAAGGGAACTCAGCTCAAATTAGGGTAAAAATGAACCTGATCAGGGAACCTTCAAGTTTAGAACTCTCACTCCAGAGAACATGGGTTTGTCTCAGAGCTAAACACTCAGATTACTGTACTTTATACATCTCATTGCAGAGCCAAGGCAAAAGACACAAGAACACTGCAAACCCCACCCCTGCCCTTGCATTTTCTTTCTGATACAACGATTGAACCCAAGGCCCCTGCACTGTGCTACATCTCCAGCCCCTTTTTTATTTTATTATTTTAATTTTGAGACAAGGTCTCGTTAAGTTGCTAAACTGCCTAGGCTACGTTCAGACTTGTGATCCTCCTGCCTCAGCCTCCCAGAATGCTGGGATTACAGATGTTCACCAGCATGTCTGGCTTATGCTTTTTTCTTGACTCAGCCAAACCTGTGCAGCATTTTATTTTATTTTAGTACCAGGGATTGAGCTCGCAACCTCGCACTTGCCAGGCGGGCACTTATGCTGCTAAGCTTAAACCGCTGGCCTCTATGTAGCATTTTATAGAGCACTTTAGCTACAAGGCTGTCTGCTGTGCCTGCTCTAACTCCCTTTCTGAACTTACTCTGGGTTCACCTTGGGTTGTGTTTTACAGGCTTCTGCTTGGTCCAGCCACCAGAGACACACGTCTCTACTTACCAAGTTTATCTTATTTCTGTATATTTGTGGTTCTGGGGAGTGAATTCAGACACTCACACAGGGTAAGCCCACACCCAGATTCTACTCACCAGTTTAGATGCAGTCAGACTCTCAAACCTCGTGGAAATAAATATTTATGGAGTGACTGGGGGCTTCACGGTGACTCCCTTAATATGGGAGGAGACAGATGTAGGCAGAGTCTATTTGGTGTCTTGAATACTAATAACTGCAGCTACGTGTTGTTAAGCTGGCTTTGAACTCACTGTGCAGCCCAGGCTGGTCTTGAACTCCCAGCATTCCTCCTGCCTCAGCCTCCCAACTCCTGGGATTTTGGGTGTGCGCCACTAGGCCTTGAGCTTCCCATCTTGCTAAGAGCGCTTTTGCCAACAGCCAGAGTGGTCTGAAGTTTTCGAGGCTGATTGCTGGAGTCCTGTTGGTTAGCCATGAGTAGAGGACAAGGAGGCACTGGGCTTAAGAAATCCTAAATTTACGATACAGACAGGAAAAGGGCAGAAAGAATGGAATACAAGGCATACAACAGTCTGCCCGTCTCGTCCCCATGACAGGGGCTTGTGTAAACTCTAAATAGGGTCATGGTACAAGAGCTCGGCACCTGCAAAGTAGAAGTGCTCAATAAATGTTTGCTTGAACATTGTGATCATGTGTGCACAATGCCTGGTACACAGTAGGTGCTCAATAAATGTGAATTCCCACAAGCACCAGTCTGACTGTCTGGGTGGCTGGAGGGTCCCTGGATGAGACTGGGGAGCCATGGGCAAGGCCTGACCCCCCGCCCCACCCCACCGCCTTCACTAACCGCTTTCCTCACTGGGTCATGGTCAGCAGGCAGAGAAGCAGTGACCCTGTTTCTCAAGGCATCATCAAAACAACCCCACACTTGAGTTTTAAGAAGGGGAAACTGAGGCCAGAGAAAATCATCCCTCATGAGGGCCTTTGACAAGCTTGCAGGGGGTCTTGGGGTCTCTCACACCTCCTCCTGTTAGGGTGGGAATGGAGGGGCTGTGGTGCTGGGCAGAGCCCTCCCGAGGGCCTTGGAGCAGCTCCGTTTGCTCCTAGGAGGTCCGAGACTCCGGGGGCCTTCCAGGCTTGGGATTCAGGACGGTCACCGCGGCCCAGCCAAGGTCAGAGCCAGCCTCTCCGAAGACAGCCCAGCCCTGCCGCCAGCAGGCAGGTGAGCGCTGCTTCTCCTCCCCTGTGGGTGCCACACTGAGTCCCTGGCAGGGAGATCAGCTGTGAAGAGGTCAGAGCCCCAGTCACAGCACCCGGATCTCCCCTCTCTCCAAGGGCCAGCAGCTCTGGGCGAAACGCAAAGGACCCAATTAGTCCTCTGAGAGCCTCCTGCTGGCTCCTTTCTTCTTTAGGAAGCTGGATGCGTTGATCTAGCTGTAGGGCCACCTCTGCCAGGATGGGGACTGGATCTGTAAAGCTCTTTGAGGGCAAGGCCCAGCCCAGGGGAACGGGTATCATGGGTGGAAATTGCGGCACCTGATAGCCCAGGGTGGAATCAATATCTCGGGGGGAGGGGAACCTGAAAGTGAGCAGCTCTTGCAGATCTCTGTCTGGAGCTGAGGAAAGAGGGTGAGAAGGAAGAGCTGACACCTCAGGGAGGGACCCGGGGACCCTGCCTGCTTTTGTCTAGGCCGCCATGAGGACCCAGCCTTGCCCGTCCCGTGCCTGCCTCAGACAGACAGTGGCCACCTTACTGGGTCCCGGGGCCTCACCTGCCCTCACATCCTTCTCAGGTGACCAAGGCCCCTGCCAAGCAGGCAGAACCAGCCAGGAGGAGCCCAGCAGAGCCTCCTCAACCCAGGAGTCCTGAGAGGCGGCCTGAGGGGGACCGGCGGCTCCAGCAATCCTCCGGGACATCAGCCAAGCCCCTGGAGAGGGAGTCGAGGACCAGGACGGAGAGAGCTCTGGAGAGGGGCCAGGGAGGCCCCAGGCAGCGGCTGGGGAGGTGGCAGAGTCAGGAGGAGCTGCCCCAGTCCCAGGGCCCTCACAGACACCTGGAAAGGAGCTGGAGCAGCCGAGAGGAGGGCCCGGGCCCCGGGGGCTGGCCAGGACTTGGGGAGTCCAGCCTAGGGGCTGCCAGAGCCCTGGAGGGAGCATGGCAGGGCCCTCCCAGGGAGTACAAGGAGATCTGGGGGCAGCCCGAATCCTGGGAGGAGCCCCCTATTAATGGGCTGCAGGAGCTCCCCCAGAAGCCGGCCCCAAGGGGCTGGGGCAGCCTGCAGGAGCTGTCTGGTCCCTCCCAGCCTGGGAGTCCCCCAGAGAGCTCCTGGGTAGGCCCAACAGAATCCTCTTATCCTCAGAGGCCTGAGACGCCCACCACCATGGGCTGGGGCCCTGAAAGGCCACCCGAGCTGGACTGGAGAGATCTGCTGGGCCTCTTCCGTGCCCCTGGGGAGGGGGCCTGGGCCCGACTCCCAAGACTGGACTGGGAAGGCCTCTTAGAGCTCCTGCAGGCCAGGCTGCCCCGAAAAGACTCAACTGGACACTGGGGTGATCCGGCCAAGGCTTCAGGGCCACAGCTGGGTTCCCCAGGCACCAACGATGACACCCTGGAGCAGGAACCAGGCGGCCAGCCTAAAAGCTGGGCTGAGGCCACTGTCACCAAAGGACACAGCCCTGAGCAGCAGCCCCCGAGCCCAGCCCAGCCGCCCAGCCCAGCCTGCACCTCCACCCAGTGGCCAAAGACACAAGTGACAAGTGGGCCAGTGACCTCACCTCAGCCTGGTCTGCAGCAGGCAGCCCGGCCAGAGCACAGCAGGCCAGCAGAGGGCCCTAGCCCCCCAGGTCCAGAGGTAAGTTGTCTCTGCCTCTGAAAGGTGGCCAGAGAACCACCTCCATCCCAGCAAGTCTTAAAAAGGCTCTGGAGGTTTAGCTCAGCCATAAGTGCCTGCCTTGCAAGCAGGCAGTCGTGAGTTCGATCCCCGGTACCGATAAAAAGGAAAAAAGACCAAAAAAAAAAAGGCTCCCCACGACATGACCTCAGCCCCCTCCAAGCCCTGTCTGAGGCCTGGCTCTGCCTGGACCATTCTGACCACCGAGCTGGACAGGGGTGTGTGCGTTTACCACACACCCACCCTGTCTGGGTGTTTCCCGGGGTCTTTTCCCACTTAGTCTCTGGTTGCTTGAGGGCCGTGTGCATAGCAAGCCCAGCGGCAGGCATCGGGTACCTGTGTACTTCAGTGCTGCTTCAAGCCCAGAGCCTTGGTTCTGAAGGTGGGGGTGGAGATAGCCCCACTACCTGCTGCACCTCACCAGCAGCACACTGTGCAGCTTTGGACCCCCCACCCTTCTGGGCTTCAGGCTCTTCCAGGCCTCAGCCATAACAGAACCAAGCACATCCTTGAACAGGCCCACTGGGGTGACACGCAGCGTCCACATGTCATTCAAAACCTTTCCTGGGTGCCCAGTAGGGCGCCACCTTCCCATGGATGATGAGGCTTCCAGCCAGGCCCAGGATTTACTGGAACAATACCTCGTGTGCTTTGTCCCATGTGCCCACAGATGGCCAAGAGGCAGCTGCCTCTGTTCCCATTTTACAGATGAGGAAACTGAGCCCCCAACTCCTTAGGTATTGACAGATGCAAAAGTGGTGTGAGAAGTGAGGCTCATGCATCCATTGCAAAGCCAGGCACAGTGTGAGCCCAGACAGGGCCAGGAAACCTCCCTCCCATGGCTCGCTGTGGCTTTCCTGGCTTGGTCTCAGGCACAGACACCAGATGTGCAGGGATGAGTCATCGTGGTCCTGCCCTTGTGTTGCTGTCACCGGGGAGGCAGGGAGACCCCTGGCCGTTTCGGGGGGCATGAAGCTGTGTCTCAGGAGCCCCTCAGGTGCTGCCAGCTGTCTGTCTCCAGCACAGGGGAAAAGCAGGGGACTCCAGCTGGAGTTGCTGCCCACGGAGGCGCCAGGGCCCCCGGAGGCTAGGGGGTGGTGAGGGCATTTCACAGGTGACAGAGCGGAGGTGTTCACCTGGCCCAGCCAGGGTTCCAGCTGCTCTTCTCCATGGAAATCCTCGGTGTGGCGTTCAAGGCCTCCTTCCTTTCCTTCTCCCCAGCTCTGCCGCTGGTTGTGCTGAGCCGGCTGCAGGACTCCGCACATCTCCCTGTTGCACTTGCTGTTCCCCGTGCCTAGGATGCTCTTCCCTTCCTGTCTCCCCCAGCAAGTGTCTGGCCATTATTCCGGTCAGGTCAGGAGTGCTATCCCGAGGAGCCTCCCGAACAATCACCCCAGCCCCAGGCCCTCGGTGCTCCCCTTCTGGGACTGGCAGCCTTGCTTCCCTTCATCTGTCACTTCCCCAGAAGAAACACGAGCTCCCTGGAACAGGGGCTAGCCTAGCTCATCTGTGCACCTCTGGCCCCCAGCCCAGGGCCTGGCATAAAAAGGGGGCTCTGCTCAGTGGGTACCTGACCCATGAGTGCAGGCAAGGCACAGACAGGGCTGGAGACGCAGCTCAGGGGTTGGGGCTTGCCCAGCACACACAAGGCTCTGGGGTTCAAGCTGGATGTGCTGACACACACCCATAGTCCCAGCACCTGAAGCCAGGCTGGACTGCATAGTAAGACTGTGTCTTACAAAAAAGAAACAAAGAAAGAAAACAGAGTCGGACAGTTGATGAACAATGGGTGGTGGATGCATGAGGGAATGAACTTACGATGGGTAGGTAACGGGTGATGGATGAATGGATGTTGCTTAGCTCATGGATGAGCACATAGTGGTGACCACATGGTTGGATGAGTGTTAGGGGGAATATGGACGGATAGACGGATGGATGGATGAGTGGATGGGTAGATGGATGGATGGATGGGTGGATGGATGGATGGATGGGTAGATGGATGGATGGATGGATGGATGGATGGATGGGTAGATGGATGGATGGATGGATGGATGGATGGATGGGTAGATGGATGGGTGGGTGGGTAGATGGATGGATGGATGGATGGGTAGATGGATGGGTGGGTGGGTAGATGGATGGATGGATGGGCAGATGAATGGATGGATGGATGGGTAGATGGATGGATGGATGGATGGATGGGTAGATGGATGGGTGGGTGGGTAGATGGATGGATGGATGGGCAGATGAATGGATGGATGGATGGATGGATGGATGAGTGGATGGGTAGATGGATGGATGGATGGGTGGATGGATGGATGGATGAGTGGATGGGTAGATGGATGGGTGGGTGGGTAGATGGATGGATGGATGGGCAGATGAATGGATGGATGGATGGATGGATGGATGAGTGGATGGGTAGATGGATGGATGGATGGGTGGATGGATGGATGGATGAGTGGATGGGTAGATGGATGGATGGATGGATGGATGGATGGATGGATAGATGGATGGATAGAGGGAGGGATAGATGGATGGGTGGGTGGGTGGGTGGATGGGTGGGTAGATGGATGGGTGAGTGGGTAGGTGGATGGGTGTATGTTTGCATGGCTGCAAAAACTGGGTGATGATGGCAAATGCATGCTGGAAGGATGGCTTGCAGGTGAGTGGCTATCGCATGGTTGGAGGAAGGATATGTGGATGTTGGATGGGCGATGACTACACAGAGGATGGATAAATGAATGAGGGACAGACTGTGCCTGTGTGGGAAGGCGGGTAATGCAGGCCGGATGCTGGGAGGATTCGTGCACCTATCGATGCTGGGTGGTAGAAGGATGAGGTGGACAGATGCATAGACAGGGTCATAACCTGGGCTAATCTGTGGTCTTTCTTACCTTCAGTTCCAACCAGAGGAGCCCGAGGCATCAGAACCAAGCAGAGGCCAAGACTCACTGACTGAGCAGGAGCAGGCAGACTCGGTAGCTGGGTCCTGGGCCTGGGAGCCCCAGGGAGGGGGTGGGGAAGGGGTTGAGGTTGAAAGTGGGACCAAGTCCCACCAGGGGGTTTTGGAGCTGATCAGCAGAGCCTCCTCTGGGTTAGGGACCTGGGTGAGTGGACAGTCCTGGGGTCAGAAGCCCAGGGCTCTGCTTCTAACTCTCTGAGCTGTGCCAAAAATGTCACTGCCTTTCTCCAAATAGCAGTTTGACCCTGATGGTCTCCGAGGGCCTCTGAGGGTAAGGTCTTTCATGTTCTAGAGGGCTGGGGAGGGGCAAGAAATGCCAAAGGGAAGCGAGCTGAGATGTGTGCAGGAGGTGGCCCGAGGCTGCTCCACCGAGGCCTGGGTCCAGTTGGAGGACAGCTCTGCCCCACCCATCCCTGTGACCTGCAGAACACAGCTGTCACCCTCAGCTTCCAGAGGGGTGAGGTCAGAGGGGAGGGCCAGTGAGGCAGACAGTCTAGGGCTGTTTTCCTCATCCTCCTGTTCCCCATGGTGCCAGTACGACAGGGACCATTTGTCTGACAGCCTAGAACCCCCAAGCCTGGCCACACTGCTAGTCAGAGCTGGGGACTCTGTCCAGCCCCACACTGTGTGGATGAGGAAACAGGCAGGGAATCGGCCGGGTCACACAGTCAGCCTGGGGGAGACTCAAACCAGCGCTGCTTGCTGGCTCTGCGCTGTCCTGCGTGCCCCATCCCCAACTGCGTGGCAGCCAGTCCACCCACCTGTGAAGTCAGGAGGTGACAGGGACGCTGATCACTGACAGGGGCTCTGACAACTTTGTTCTTCCTCTTTTGGGGTTATTTCTTCATACTTCCTGGAGACAGCCGCTTGGACAAAGAGGAAATAGCAATCCTGGGGGACCCCTCTAGTCTCCCAGCCACCCCTCATCCTAGGCAGTCTCAGCAGGATGGAAGTGTTCGCTACCTCAATGATTAACTCATTCTCCAGGTGCAGGGTCAGAGCCCATCCTGGGGACAAGGTCAGGGCTGGATGGGAGTGTGTACCCCGCCAGGGACATGCCTCCTCAAGCCTGCCACAACCTGCAGAGAATCCACAGATTCCAGAGAAGGGACACCCCAGCTCTGCCCTGCCCCTGCCTGGGACGTGCCTTGTGACTTTTGGGCCAGTGCCTCTGCTTTGCTCATTCCTCAGTTTCCCCAACAAGGCTCATCCGGAAGGCAGAGTATTCTGGAGCTCTGTGAAGGCGTCTCTGAGCGTCTCTTTTTTCCTGTACTTTGATGTTACAAACCTAACACCAGGCAGGTAACAGGCCAAGAGTGGAGACCCGGGTGCTCATGTGTGACCCTTTGGCTATAGGTGGTTGTTGCTGTGGGGAAAGCGGGCCTAGAGTTTCCATACTTTAGGTGTTTCAGAGAAATCAGGAACACTATGTAACAGTCTCTAGATTATTTAACATTAGGAGCCTAACAGAAAATAATCTGCAGATACCATGGCCTGAACATGCATCTGTGATCTGTGCTGCCCCCTCGGCAACCTGGGGTTTGGCTTTAGGGTGTGGGGTCCACAGCTCCAAGGGTGCTGAGCCCCACGGCCCCTGTGGACAAATTAACAAGCTTTTTTTGGCAGCTCTTGGGGAGCGGGTGGTAGAGAACAACGGTACATGGGGCTTTTGTAGTGACAGAATGGGCAGGGGAGGCTGTGGCCAGGGATGTCCCCAGCCTGCTGAAGGGACCTGTGGCCAACACCAGACCCTGTTTGACAGGCAGACAAGAGGCCAGCAGAGGGCAAGGCTGAGAGCCCACTCAAGGGCCGACTGGTGACCTCATGGCGGATGCCCGGGGACCGGCCCACGCTGTTCAATCCGTTCCTGCTGTCCCTGGGGGTCCTCAGGTGGCAACGGGTAGGCTGGCTCCTGCGGGGGCTGGAGGGGTGAGGGCGGACAGAAAGGGGCGGTCCCGGGGAGGAGCTCTCCTGGCAGGGGAGCGGGCTGCTCAGCTCCTGAGCCCTCCTCTCTTCAGGGTGAGGGTTGACTGATGATCCCAAAGCGGAAAGCTTCCAGTCTGCAGACCACCAGCCCCCGGCCAGGGAGCCAGGTGGGGGAGAAGGGAAGAGGAGGCCATCAGGGGCTCTGGGACCACAGAGCGTGTCTCCAAACTGGGCCCTCGCCAGTTTTACAATCATGTGGCGTTACGTAACCGTCCCCTGCCCAGAGAGGCCTGTAAACACTCAGGCCTCTGCTTAGGGCTTCCTTAGGGGCAGGGACAGCTGAGACTTATGCTCTCCCCTTACCCCTTCACAGTAGGAAAGGAGGGGGCTGGCCTCACTGTGGGTCCAGCACTAGGTCAGGCACCTTGGAGACAGTTGGCCCCCATTCTGCGGATGAAAAGACTGAGACTCACGGATGCAGGCGAAGTCACCTGAGGTCATGCAGCTAGGGTGTCAAGGAGCTGACTGCTCACTCCTAGGTAGGAGAGGTCATGACACACTCACAGTCTATTGTCACATCTGCTTAAGGCGGGAAGGGGGGATATGTGGGGACTCAGGGCTGCAGGGAAGAGTCAGGGTCAGGACACAGGGGAGGCTGTCCAAATGCACAAGTCCCCATCCACTTCCCAATTCCCTGTCTTCTGTTCTTTAGGGCCAGGGAACCAGGGCAGCCAGGCAAACATGGTTATCTGGGCAGGGTGGTACCTTCGAGCCTTGGGAGCAGCTACCTTATCACCCTAATGAAAAGTCACCAACACACAGCAGGGCTGGCCCGCAGGAGGGGGAGGTCTGCTCCGTACAGAGAGGGGAGGGGAGCGGGGTGAAGCCCTCTGGGATGATGGTGACAGCAATTATCATGCCCCTACCAGGTCCCTGCTCTGTGCTCAGCCTGTGACCTATCTGACTGTGGTTCCCCCTCACAGAGGGCTGAGTTATTCCCACTGTCCATTACACAGATGAGGAAATGAGGTTGGAGGAAAAGTCCCTTGTTCTAGGTCACACAGGGGCAAGGGTCAGAGCTAACATTCAAACCCCGCTCTGGCTGGACTCAGAGCTGTGTTTATACATCCTCCCCAGGGAGGTATACTCCAATCTCCCAAGCGCACTTAGGGCCACCGCCAATGTCCCCATTAGACAGATTGGCGAGTTTGTGGACAGCTGTTTCCTCCCCTGGGGATGAGGACACTCAGGCACTAGGGATGGGACTTCAGGGGTTATTCAGAGATGCTTCAAACACACCTCTCACGGATGTCACCCCAAGGCCAAGGACCAGGAAGCCTGGGGTCAGATTCTATCTCTGTTCCTAACTTGTGTGCTTTGAGTCTCAGTAGAGCAACGGTCTTGAGACGGGGCAACTCCAAAGTTTGGTGGCTTTTGTCTTTGCCAGCTGAGCATCTCACCCCTAGGCCCCTGAGGTTGTGCCACCTCCTGGTGTGAGGTGTGGGTTGTGCTGAAGCCAGCTGTGGTTTCTTCCTTTGTGTATACATTCATCAGTGTTTACTGAGGATGGCCAAGGCTGGCCCTAAGCTGCCTCCAGAGGCAGAAAAACCCTCACCCTGGCCTGGAGGATTGCGAGGGGAGGACTCTGGGTAAGGGGTCAGATGAGATGAGGGAGCATGCACGGGGAAAGAGTTTCTAACTTGAACATTTTGGTTCCGTTTGAACTGAGACTTGAAAGGTGAGGAGAAATTTTCTAACAAACCTCTGGGAGTAACATGAGATGTGTGTGTGCTGGGCTGGAAAGCCAGGAAGGGAAGTGTTCTAGACATGGCAATCAGGAGGCACAAAGGATGTGGCTTATCCTGGGAATTCCCAGCAGGCCAGCCCCGTGTCCCTAGTGTGGAGAAGGTGTGCTGGAAGACGTGGATGGAAGGCCAGATGCCAAGTGACTTCCCAGCACTGGGAGAACTGACAGCTTTGCGTGTGGGCATATTCTGGGCACAGGGCTGAGGCACTAGAAGCCAGGAAACTAGTGGGGGGCCGGCGCTGCGGGCCAGCTCCTTATGGTGGGCAGGCTCCCACCTCTCCTAGGGCTGAGGAGACCAAAGTGCAGCGCAAGGGTGGGAAACTGCACGCGTGCCAGAGGCCACCAGTGTCTCCTGAGGTGACTTTCCTGTGGCCTCATTCCTCACCATGGGGACTTGTCCAGTGGGCACTGCTGGCAAAGAACTTTAGCAACAACCCTCCTCCTTTAGCTTCCCAAGTACTGGGATTACACGTGGGAGCCACCACGCCCAGCCTGATTTTTGAACTCTGAATCAAGGCAATAGAATAACCGAAATGCAAGTAGCCCAGGCTTGCTTAGTAATCCTGTCTCAGGATACATAACTAGGAATAAGGAGATTTACTTGGTTTAATGGTTAACGTGCTCACCACAGTGCTGTAATTTATATGTATGGATGCTGGGGACTCTGGACCACTGTGGGGCAGTCATGCAGGTACCACCAATGGTTCAAGCTGGCTGGAAGGTGTTAATCCTTAGAACAACCTCAGGTCGCAGTAGCATTAGCCCATTTTAGAGGGGGTGAATCTGAGGCATAGTTAAGTCGAGTAACTTGCTTAAGGTAACGCAGGATTTGAATGGCCTTGCTGCACTGTTATGTGGGTTTAGCAACAAATTCCATCCTTGGTCTGCAGGACTCAGATGCGCTTTAACAAACTGCCAAAGTTTTTGCAAACTGAACGACCGGTATACACTCATACCTAGGACCCAAAGCGAAGTTCTTGATAATTCCATCTCTGTGTGACCTCGGGCAAGTCGGTCCACCTGTCTGCGCCTCCGATGTCACTAGTAAAATGGAGACAAGGCGCCCTAACTCTCAGGTCTATAGTAAGGACGAAAGTGGGACCCGCTGAGTCCTTGGCACTGGGTGTCTGCATCCGACCAGGCATACCGACCCTGTGGTGACTGAGCTCTGGCTGGAGCCCAGAGACGGGGGCGGGGGGAGGCCACGCCCGCACGTCCCCAGCCCCCCTGTGGTCGCCGGACGGAGTCACCTGCGCGCCGGGCCCTTCCTTCCCCCCAGTCCC